CAATTACATTGAACCTTATGGGAAAATTTGATTCGGGTCACGATCAATTCGGGTCGCGACCAGAGTCGTGGAATGAATTAAGTTTGTGAACCGAGGTACCACTGTAATTTGAATTGAACCCAGGAGCCTACTGGCAATTAGTGCAGCTTTCACCAGGCTGGTGTTACTTTACAATACTGGCATTCTAGACCAGTTAAAGCTTCCAAATTGCCCTCAAGGGCAGCTGCATGTCATGTGAATTGCAAGTGTGAAATTATAAGATTATTATAGTTACAGTACTATGCTCACAAGAGCATAAGTTACTGTTGCCAGTGCTTCCTGATCCAGAAGAGGCCAGTTTTGGAATAAGGGGAATGAGGAACACAAGTAAAATCTTGACTCTTTGTATCTGGTTGCTGCAGCCACATATACATTCAGGATACTGTGGAAGCATTTGGCATTTGTTCTTCTCAGTACATTAACACACATTAAGGATTTAGGATGTATGAATTATGTTCACAGGAATGAAAAGTTTTTGTATTCTCCAGACTATTTTATTACTGGCTATTCCTTAGTTTTGTTTTTATTTAACTATTCTATTTTTGCTTTTTATTGTATATTTTAATTAACATTTTTAACTAAAATATTGTATATTTTAACTAACATTTTTCAAACTATAAGGCTTTTTTTGGAAAAGGAGAATAAACTTTAAAAAGTAGCAAATGAACAGTTGACACAGCCCTTTGTCCTCCTAGAACATAATTTTTTTTAACACACCTAGATTAGAATCTTCTTTTAATTATTCTGTTTATTAGGTTTGGAATTTCTCTATCTTGTCCTTAAATTAAGGCTATAGAATGGGTCCAGGCAAGGATAAAAATGTATTAAAGCCTACATAAGGCCAATGATATTTTTGTTAATTGTTTGGGTGCTCAGTCCTTTATCAGATTAATGAAAATTCCTGGTTCTGAAGTCTTTTGAAAGTAACAATGATAATTTGATGTACCTCTGTAGGATGATTATAACCACATCCATGGTGGCAAATGGACAGTCAACAATTTGCGTTTATATCTAGAAAGCACTCGAGGGAAAGATGTCACTAACAAGCTGTTTGATGAAATACATTGGATAATTGTACAGTCATTGAAAGCAGTTGCAGTGAGTAGAAAAACAAATTTATGATAAAGGAAAGTTAATAAAAAATACAAAAGACCACTCAGATTTTTTTCAGTAGTGACTTATTACTATATGAGGCATATTTGTTACTGAAACTTTTGCACAAGTATCACAGTAAGAGTTTAACAGATTTTTTTTTTATTCCTTATATTTTGTGATCCCTTATTTTATATATTCTGCTATTCTGGAATGTAGAATGTCCAACATAAGAGGAGCTGGGTGATATAAAAGTGTAATACACACTTGAAAACAGGAAACACTGATTAATGTTTCCTTGTGTTTCCTTTTACTCCCTCACCACATTACATGTACTGGTCAGTGCCTTTGAAAAAAAGAATGGCGATTTCATAGAACAGGGATATTCTATAGGTGGGCATATTATGTAAATCTTAAACATGCACATATATATATATTCAGATAAATACATATAGGGCAATATTTTTATGGTATATATTCCATTGATATTTATAAACAAAAGTAAAATCTAGAAAAATATGAAATTAACCAAACTCACAAAAGAATGTACTGTACAGTTACAAATACAAATTCTAAGAAAAATAGCTCAAAGTGAATGATTTATTAAAAACAAATTAAACCATCTTATTTTAGTTCATGGGGGAAAGTTACCAATATGTATTAGAAGTGACAAATGTATTAGTCCTCAAAGTAAAAATGTTATATAAAAACTTGATGGCCTTCCTGGGAACTTTTCAACAAGGGAGAGAGAAGACATTCTCTCAAGACAATTGCACTAAGAGCAAAAAAGGAGGGATTTCATGACTGCAAGAGCTATTAAGCAGTGGAACAGCCTGCCTCCTGGAGTTGTGGACCTTCATTTTATTTACAGTTTCAGACTAATAAAGTTGTAAGTCTTTTGTCTGACTTTGTATTCTTCATATTTGTATTTGAGGATTCATATTCTTAGTCCACAGTATGACTAGTAAACCTGCACAATTTCTTAGTAAATATGCATGTTATATTTGAAATGCCTTGTACGCATTAAATAGTCTTCAATATACCATGATGATGATCTGATCATATTTTCTCTCCTCTAATGTCTGCTTTCAACTCTTTCAGCCTGTGATGAACAATGATAAACATTGCTTTGAATGCTATGGATATGACATCATCATTGATGACAAGCTTAAGCCATGGCTTATTGAGGTAATTATAATTACATTGTCTTTGAAAAGTTGTTCCTCAGAACAGTGTAGAAAAAGGATGTTTTTTTAATGCTGAAATGACTTCCCTTTCAAGATAGTCTAGAAAACCATAGAAAGCAAAAAGACAAAACCTAGAAAGGAAATTCTAATACTTTTGCATTTGTTTGAGAAACACTCATAAAACAGTCCAATAACTTGTCCTCCAATGTCATGGATGAAATTGTATTCCCAAACAATTTCTAATCTTGCTATTTAATTTTTTCTCAGTTAACTCAGAATCTTTTTGTAAGTGCATGATGTAATTAGACTTATTGATTCAGTAAGGAAGGAAGTTAAATAACTGAATTAGGAACTGGTAGAACTCTGTGTACTTACAATCCAAGGGTTGGAAGAGGCCATTTAGTCCAAACCCCAGGCTCAATGCAGAAATCTAAATTAATGCACCATCTGCAGGTAGATTTCTTTGTCCAACTGCTCTTACTATAATTTGGTTTCCTTTAAATAGGATAATACATAACATGTTGTGGCATTCTTGTGATATCACTTCAGGCACTTGAAAAGTACTGTCATATACTAGGTCTCAGTTTATGTCCTTGCATCAGATGTTGGAACATAAGTACATAATGTCAGAGTTCGTGACATGATGTCATCAAACATATCATCATTTTGATATAATCTTTGCTGCAGTGGCCCATGTTACTTTTTTTTATCCTGCCTTTCTTATTTTTATAAATAAATCAAGGCGGCAAACATACCCAATTCTCCTCCTATTTTCCCCACAACAACAACCCTGTGAAGTGAGTTGGGCTGAGAGAGAGTGATTGGCCCAAGGTCACCCAGCCAGCTTTCATGACTAAGGTGGGACTAGAACTCAGAGTCTCCTGCTTTCCAGCCTGGTGCCTTAACCACTAGACCAAACTGGCTCTCAACATTTTTCCAAAGTGTCAGAAAGTAAAAAAAGGCACTGGTAATTCTAGTTACCAATGTAACTGGATTGTGCAAGTGGGAGGCCTTCCACAGAATGGAGCTTTGCCTAACTTTTTAATCTGTTTTTCAGATTCTTCAGATTCTGTTCTAATAGTGAAAAGCACCTTTGTCTAAACATTCCTTAAAATACTTAACTATGTAATACTCTATATAATACTTAATTATATAAAACATATAAATAAATTATACATTTTCCTTTCTTGTTGCAACAATTTCCCCTTAAATGTAATAATCCAAAGAAACACAATGGATAATATCCTTACAGAACAAAGCTTTAGAACTGCATACTGTACTGTGTTTCACTTAGTAGGAGAGCCATATTAGTGTATGGTAACAAAAAATCAGGAGGAGTCTGGCAGCACTGTTTCCAGCTAACAAGTTTTATTAGAAGGCAAAAGCTTTGGTGAGCTGCGGATCTGTTAATTGGAAAAAGTACTACCAGATTCCTCCCTATTTTATCTCATCTAGAAATTCTGGTGCAAATATGTTTCATAAACTGTTATTTATTTGTATATCAAATGGTGGCTATGAAGTACCTGCTTTCTTTTTTCTGAATTCTCCATAGGTTAATGCTTCTCCATCTCTTACTTCCAGTACTGCAAATGACCGTATACTCAAATACAATCTGATAAATGACACACTTAATATTGCTGTGCCCAATGGAGAAATTCCTGATTGTAAATGGAATAAACCACCCCCCAAAGAAGCTCTTGGAAATTATGAAATTTTGTAAGTGTTTAAGAATACGTATGTAAATTGATTTGCTAGAATTCTCTTGGGGCAAGATCTTACTCTATGGAGGTTTCACAATGATTCTGCATTAATTGTAAGCCAAGACAAGTATAATTTGTGATGTTCTAACCATTACTGCCTTGCTATTAGAATGCATACTGAATCCATCTTCTCGAAGGAAAAATAGTTATGGGAAATACCATGAAATTCTTCATTTTTAGAGATGGAAGTGGTATCACAAGTACATAGTTTCAGAGAATAGTACCTAAAGATCTTTTGTTAACCGGGACTAAGACACTATTTTGGGAAAGGAAATCATTTCGCTTTTGTATGTATGTGTGTAGTTACAGGCGCGTATATAGACTGTCATTTAACTTTGTGAATAGGAGCCAGTGTTTTCTCCAAAGTTAGGGTTTATTAATTATATTATGTGGATTAAATATGGACAGGAAAGAGCAGTAATTTATATTTTTTGAAAGATCCCCAAATGAATACACTTTAAACTTCACATACTTTACATAAAGAAAATAAAAGAACAAACTCTTTTCCTCATGATAATGTTCTGTACTAGGGAGTTTTCTCTTCCCTTTTAAATGGTGCAACATTCAACTCTACAATTTCTTTATCTGCCATCTGTTGCAATTAAGCCCTGGAAGAATTTCACCCTTTTGACCCAAATCAGACATTGATGTTTCTCTCTTTTGCCTTAGATATGATGAAGAGATGGCACAAAGCGAAATGTCAGAACGGGATTTGCGAAGTCGCTCTGGACAGTCTGTTGGATTTAAAGGAAACCGAGCCAGAGATCCTGGAAAAGCAGGGTCCCTTACTTGGAAGTAGCTGAAGAATAAACTGTAAATTGACGTTTTCTGATATTCTGGGTGGTGATATAGTTGGATATATTTTATTTTATTTATTTATTTGCTTAGTACTAGTCCAGCAAAAAGAATATTGCTCAAGGATGAGAGGATGGAAGCATGTGAATATATTTCAAGTTTATCATTAGATTCACTGCAGTTTTACTGCATGCTTATTATTATGCAGGACTATTATGCTGCCTGTTGTATTGGACAAATGTAATAAGTTAATGCAAACAAAATTGCATTTTAATAAAACAACTCATTTCCAAGGCACCCTACTTTCTTTAAAGTAGCAACTGCTATCTTGAGCATTGCAACAGAAATATGCATACCAAGATTAGTGTTTTGTATCTTTTTTTTGAATTGTTCTAGAATTCTAAGGCACACTGTTCAAAGCATATGTATTTCCCTTTTGCAAGCTAATGTTAGTGTATTAGGAAATTCTATTTCTTTATATTGCATGCTGTTGTTTGCTTCAAAATTTAAGTATAAATAAAAGAAAAAATAATATGTTTTGATTGAAAAGGTATCTTAAAGTTTCTGTTGGGAATGCTGTGAGAGGCTAATTGTCGTAATAAATCACAAAGATTGGTCTGCATACTGTATGGCCTGAAACAGAAATCTCTTTTCCCACAATCTGATGGCATTGCTTCTACTGGCTAAAGACCAGGGCTGAATTTTAAATATAATTCTTCAATGACTAATCTGGCAGGTGCACTAAAATGCTGACATGTTGCAATAGATTTGACAGATAAATACTGTATCTCTTAAAGCTCGGATCTTAGCCACACTATTATTTTTACTTAGAAGTAACATACTGGACTCTAATTCCCAATAATCTCTGTAGAAGGGGAGCTGTGGAGTCCTTGGTGCTCTCTGAGCTTGTGCTTGCAGACATTACATTACCCGACTAGGTAACATCATCAGTGCTAGTGAGTGTGGGGTTTGCTTTCTCTTTATATACAATGGCTTGCCCTGCCAGTGTTGGTGGGGGTGTGGTTTTCTCTTTGGTAATTCCTTGATTAGGGTATTGTTTTCTGCTTGATTGTTTGTCTGGTGTTAATCCCTAAGCAGTTCCGACCAACAATTATTCTTTCTGAATTAATGCCCAGAACAACATGCTCTGCCCACCTGTGTTAGATATAAACCTCCACTAAACTGCACAGCTGGATGGAAAACAGCTGAAGAAAGTGACCAAAAAATGATACGGCTAATGATAATGGATGCTCACCTTAGACTAAACAAATACCAGCACGCCATAGACAACCTCAAGAAGCAGCCTAAACAAACCATGACCCCAGAACACATAAAAAGGCTGACTACCACCATTAAGACTACATCTCTAAGACAAGCTGAAAAAAGGAAAACAAAACTCCAAAACAAACTGCTCATGCTAACCGATAAAAGCAAAGAGATACAGTGGGGCAAAAAAGTATTTAGTCAGCCACTAATTGTGCAAGTTCTCCCACTTAA